TACATATCCACAGTCTCTCCCACTCGACAGAGTGATTTAAATACGTAACTGCGTGTCTATTGCTAAGTTTTTAGGCTGGTGTCGGGAATTCCGACTGTAGATTGGGATTTTACGAACGTTGATGTAAAAACACTTTTGAAAGCCATCCTACAACTCTGCGGGCGAATCTTTTAGATTAGTAGCCGAGTAAGTGTTAGGGATTACATTTATCTACCCCGGTTCCTCACATAAGATCTTAGCAACAACGTCGTAGCATTTGCCCCATTGCCAATGCAGTGCTATTGCTCTGAGTATAATAGGTTTACCCAATAAAAAGTATTGTAACAAACGAAATTCAATTTAAATATTTACTGGAATTTACATTAAATATGTACTATACAAATATAAAAAGTTTAATACAACTGAAATGCATCAAACATATATTTGTTTGAAAGAAATCACGTTTCCGTGGATTACAAACGGCGCTGCACCTTCGGTAAGTGGCTGCGTTATCCCTGGCAAATTCAATTTTTAGCTATTCCCATATTGCTGTTCACACTAAGACGATCTTTCATCAACACTCATTGACTAGTATCCAGAACAAATCAGACGGAAAAATAAAAATGGGGCCTGCCATAACTGGAACACGGTTCCCATTAAAATTCCTAAATTACCTACTTCGATTCATTCGATCCCTGATTGCTCAGAAAAGATATTGATTTTCTTACTGCGTCTGTAATTCGTCTATTAAAACATTTCGTTACACACGAGGTAATTCTGCAAATTACAGTAGACCCCCCAATAATATTGTTGATAATTCCGAGTTATATGAATTCCATGTTGTACGAGTCACTTAGATTTTACAAATACGTGTGTCGTTCTGTGCCCGGCTCACGTATTTGTAAAATCTAAGTGACTCATACAACATGGAATTCATATAACACGGAATTATCAACAATATTATAGGGGGTCTACTGTATTACATTCGCTGGATTTAGTAATACAGTACAGTAGATTTCCCTATGAAACGTGTTTATATAATATGGATTCATATATAACGGCGAAAAAATTGCGATTGTATTTATATAAACATGCTAAAATAAACTCGTATAATGCGGTAAAACGTCATCGCCGACTCGTGTCGCAACAGGATTGGTCGAATCTAGACAAATCGCGGATATTGCACAAACTGTTGAGTTTAAAAACCTTTCCGCCCATAACCCGAGTTAACTCGGGCTACGCGTGACGCTACGCAGTCCATATCCCGAGTTATCTCGGGCATGGTCCTTAAAGCACCATTAAAAACCCTTGACTTATAACTTTTCCGAAAATGTATGGATTAGCAAATATACATTGTTATCTATGATCTGTGCAAATTTCATTAATTATTTCTACCGCGAAAAAATATTTTACGACGATTTATTAATTACGTGATTAATCGCGCTATTGTTTTATGAGAGTTTTCTAATCAAATTAATTAAATCGTTCTAAACTCCTATTTCACAGATTTGACTTCGGTAAATTTTTTAAAATGCTATTGGATGTTTTTATGACTTAAACAGGTTTTTTTGTATTTTGTTCAGTAGAATTTTTTTCCTATACTTGTTTTTGGTCCCCTGGTAATTTAATAGAATAAAAATCGACAATATTGTGTTATATTTGAACAAATGCAGTGAGTTAGCTCTCCTCAAGCTTTAGACCAATATTCCCCTGAAGCATACATGAGAAAGTGGACTCCAGCTGTTTTCAAGCATTTATTTTAAATTATTTATATTTTTTATATACTTTTTTGTAAAAACATTTTTTGGAGGGGTTTTTATTTTGCGGAAATTTTTTTGAATGTCACATTCACGTTTAAGCAGAAATAATTATTTCATATAAAAAATTTATATGAAACAGCGAACCTACTAAAAACCATTTATTATTTAGCGGCTATAAAAATTATATTTTTATTAATGATGTCTCCAACTGTCAGCAAATTTTTCGCAGAAAAATAAATTATCAGGAAACACGTTCCCGCCGTTCGATGCGCCGCTCCACGACAAAAACAAGCTTAAGCAATGGCGTCGTCGAACGGTGCACACTCGGTAAGTAATCCTACAATTTTTTGTTTATGGCATAGTTTATATGGATTACTCCCAAATACGTGTTTTGGAAATGTTAATTCAAATTAGTCTAAAATCGATTAATTTTATGGAAGAAAATCTTTCAAACAGGCATAGTCTTTAAACTGCATACGTGCCATGCTGTGATTAACTCATGTATTTAACTGATCGTACAACACAAATTCATATAAAACAGAATGTATCTACCGTATTATAGGAGGGTGTACTGTACCATAAACGATACACACGTAGCGTCATTTGGCAAAACTCGAAATGTTTCATCGTACCGCAAAAATACAAAATAGAAAGTAAACACGTCATTTCTATTGGAGTTTTACGTTGTAGGAACCAAACGCTCAAGGACTTCGATTAAGCCTGGACTCCACATTACCTGAAAACAGAAACTCAGAAACAGAACTGAAACATATAGTTTTCGTTTCAGTTATGTTTTCATTTTAACTGGACTCCACTAGAAATGCGCCATCTGTTGATCAATTCTGTAATTGTCGTAGAGTCAAACATGGACGAGGCTACGGATTTTGCCACGCTTTCTCTGCATTTATTAACAATTTTATTGTTAATAATCTTTGAATTATTTACATTTTTTGTCGTACAGACATGTGCATTTTATAACTTCTTCCATGAAGAATTCCAAATCTATTTGTTTCCTCATCGTTTTTGCTACACTTTCCGCCATTACGACAATCAAACTACACGTGACTAATGCGCGTGAGTACCCGTCACAAATCCTTGCGTTTTTATTGGTTGCAGTACGACAGAAGCGCGGGACAAAAACGGAAAAGTTAAATAATTTTTAACTCTGCGTTCGGTCTTGTTTCTGTCCAACTGAACGTTACAAAACTGAAAGTTTTGTCAGTTTGGCTTTCAGTTTTACGATTACGTAGCGGATTCCGGTAATGTGGAGTCCAGGCTTTACAGTTCCTCGCTTTGAATGCTTTAAAACAGAGACACAATCATCTTGACAGTAATCCCCTTGTTCGAAGATTCACTGTTTTTCAGCGCTAGTACAGCTTGTGGAAGCTTTACGTAAGCCATGTTCTCAACTCCTGTGACGCTATTTTTACCTCATTTGACAAATGAAAACGGCCTGAGGTCGTTTCCATATCTTTGAGTCATGGTGCTGTTCGTATTATAATTTTTCACATCATTGATTAATTAATGAATAATTTCTTACTAAGTAGAGGTAACATTATTTAACACGAATAGGCATGGTATTTTTATGTAATAATTGCTTTTGGCCATTGTATTTTTTGAGGATTTTTCCACTAATATTAAAACCGTATTTTTAAAATGTGTCTGAGACCTCGGTTTTATGTGATTTCATTTTTCATGCGATTGTTTCACTACAAACTTGCNTCCCCCTAGTCAGATCGCCCAAGTGTTGCGTTGCCATAACTTAACAAAGAAACAAACTCTTTGCGTAAGGAACAAGAAATTGATCTAAAGTTGATTGTCTTACTCTTTTAATCAAAATTTTTCTCAAATACGATAGCGCATTGTCGTTTATATTGCGTTGTCGTTTTCTATTGCCACTATGACATTTTTCTTTCTTTCATACCATATTGATTAAATATATAAATCACAAAACTGAAAAAGTAAGTATAGCACAAACACTCGGAAAAGCAATGCTTAACTCGCACATGCCTAACACCAACTAAAGTTTGACACAAAATACCGTTACGTTCGTTATCCGAATTTTGTTCGTTATCCGAGACAAAATTTTTGCAAAATAAAAGTTCGTTAACCGATTTGTCGTTAACCAGGACGTTCGTTAACCGGGATTCCACTGTAATTCGGTATACGTTGTGAAATAATTTAATAAGTTTTGTAAATCACAAAATTAATTTTTCAATCACAGATCTTAATTAAATTAATTTTATTTTAACAATAAGGCAAAGGCAATAAGGCAAATTTTTCATGCGATTGTTTCACTACAAACTTGCAATTTTTTAAAATTATATTATAAATTATTAAACTTCACACATTAATATAAAGTAAAACTTTAATTATTTTTTCGAGTTCATGTAATAATTCAAGCAAAGTTAATATTTATACATTTTTAATATAGGTCTTACTGTAGTTAAAATAAGGTAAAATAAAATTTAATACTTCCACATTTGTAATAAACGTTTTTATTACATATAGAGAGAGTTTTATATGTAGAAAGAGACAGAAAATTTATATCGATCGTAAACCTAAAAATCTAAACAACCCGACCAAAAATCGAGTCTGGGTAATTAATTCAATGATTTGCTCGAATAATAATATACATTTTTCAGAGATTATGAAAAATTATACATAAAAAGAGTTTTATATATAGAAAGAGACAGAAAATTTATATCGATCATAAACGTAAAAATCTAAACAACCCGACCGAAAATCGAGTCTGTGGTAATTTATTCAATGATTTGCTCGAATAATAATATACATTTTTCAGAGATTATGATAAATTGTTGTTGGAATGATTTATACAAATGTGATCAATTATCACAATATCTGTCTCTTATTGTCTTCTGTCATCAAACTAATCGCATATTTTTCTACTATCAAGCAGGGCAATGGTAGGGATAGTGCTAGTATATCTACCATAACTAATTTTATACGTCTTGGCTTCTAATTATTCTATAAGAAGAATTTTTATCGTTTTAAATAAAATTCGATTTATATTCATGATTAATTGTTGTCTTGTTTCTTGTTGTCTGTATTAATGGTAGCCCAAGGTTGAACTTTTGCAGTAGCTCCAAATATAAAAATTATACCACCAAGAATGTAAGCGGAAGAGACCATATAAAAAACGTAGTTCCATTGAATCAAGTCTCCTTGCTTATATGTAAAAATTAATAAAAATTATGAATATGTTATGTAAGTAAACATAAATTAAAAGTTTTGACTTACGTTTTTATCTAATATAACTCCAGCAACATAGGGTGAAAATATACCTGCAGCGTTATATAAACTATCAGTCAATCCGAAAATGACACCTAGATAGAAATTAAATTAAGTAAAACTTGTTAAACATTGTATAAAATATTTTTTATTATTTTAAAATTTTACAATCTTTATTGTTCATCCTTTAAATGACAAAATCTACAGATTTCGATTTATTTTCATATTGTTAGTAGGTCAGAGGTCGCGTTAAAAACGAACGAGAATTTGGAAAGAATATCCCAAAAATTCTCTGAACTAAAATGTTTAAACTCAACACCGTAGATGGATGCCATAATTGAAATTGGCCTGGTGCTCCATGAACCTATAACGTGCCCCAGTATGACACACTATGTCACAAGACGTGGTATGACAGCTTCTCTGTGGTTGTGAAGCTGGTTACGTCACTGGCTCAATAATTTACTGACAAACCGTAACTTCTGGGTATGATTCGTGACAAAAACAGAGATGTAATGACAAATATACAAAAAGATATATGTCAAGTGAACATTCTTAAACACCGTTTAAAAAATCGAAGAACGAGTTGAATAGCTTTCCCATAAACTTTAAAATTGTGTTGTGTCATTCGTTATTAGCCTTTATTTTAAACACTTTTTATATAATTAAATGTTATAAAATTGCAAAAAGCTTAACTTTACAAAGTGGATATAAGATTTATAAAAAGCATTGTTTATTACGATCAACTACACGAGAAATATCACAAAAAAAATCTCTTGTCCATCTTCTCATTCCCTCGACAGTTAACCACCATAATATAACAGCATCAATCGCTTAATACACAAACCTGGCTGAAAAAATTCAAAAAATTTTGAAAAAAGGCACAAGAGTTATTAAGCTTCAAACTGAATGAACAAAATCGTACCCATCCATACACTAACATTCATACATTACAGAAAACAATTCCCATTTGCCTCTTTGTTTCAAGGTTTCCTCAGTTTATGAATGCAAAGATCTTTGAAAAGGAATTTCTTTTTTTTTGCATATCGGCCATAAAAATAAAAATATCAAATATTCATGTTGCAAAAACATGAATATTTGATCGGCTTTATGGTAATATCGAGCTTTTCAACACTTTATTTGTTGTGCATGCTTACAAAGAATTTTTAGGCCAAACCGAAAGAATATTGCATAATTTTAGCAATCAAGTGGAACAATGCTGAATGCCGAGTCAATTTTCTGGCTATCTGAATAATATTATTTAATTTCTTTAGAACAATCCGCACACTTCAGCTTTTTGTCAGTAAAAAACTTCGAGTACGATATAAATACACACAGTGTATTGTTAAAATTAAGAAAAATAATGACTTACCTGCAAATTCTGGAGCTAAATCAAGCACTATTGCAACATCTCCTGAAATATAAAAGCCGAAACATCCCATTCCAATCATTAAACAAATAATTATATTTGTTTTCTCGCATCCCAGAAATGAAATCGCTAAGATGCATAATGCCGGACCACACGTAGCTACAGTTGAAATACGAAAATACGTATTAACGTTCTGACTGAAATTTTAGAAAAAAATTTTATAAAATTAAGACTGAAGTTCCTTACCAATTATTTCGCAAAGTTTTCTGATATTAGTTATACTTAAATATTTACGAGATTTTATGAAATCAGCAATGAAACCAGAAATAAATATCGCTATACAATCCACGGAATAAACTAACGCACTCACAATTCCATTCTAAAACACGGATAATATACATAAATTTGTTGATATAACACTTATGTATAAAAAAGAGCATACCTGCTGGATAGGAAAGTGAAGAATAATCTCTAAATATGATGGAATCTTAGTCAATATTGTAAAATAACCGAAACCAAGACATATTTTCGTCATAGCAAGTATCCATACTATTCTGGATGTTAAAATTTGTTTCCAGGGAATATTCAACTTCTGTTTCAAGTAAAAATGTATTTATGAGTGATCAATCGAAATAAAATACAGCAGAAAATAACGTTACCGTTTCTGTTGAGGTGATGTTTGTTACGCATTCGTTAAGAAACGTCAATTCTTTGTCAGATATTCTGGGATGTTCTTGAGGTCTGTCATAAACTGTGAACGTAACACATAAAGAAAAGACAATCCCACATACACCTGTCAAATATACAGATTACAAAAGATATAGTCGCATATATACATTGGAAAAGCATTTGTGTGTTTTTATTTACCAAATGTGTAGAAGCTAAAAGGCCATCCTATGTGTTGACAGACATATCCTGTCGTAATTAAACCAACAAACGTACCGAGTTGCATACCAGAAAATGAAACTGATGATAATGTGGACTTTTCGTTTTCTGGACTCCATCTTCCTAACAGTGTAAGAGATCCGTAAAATACAAGACCCTACGATTGAAAAGATCCTTATTATTCTCCAGTCTTCAATGACATTATAGAAGTAAATTTTTACCTGTCCAAATCCGAAGATAGCTTGACATAAAGATATAACTGAAACACCGACATCTGCACAAAAGGGTGTTAAAATGCAGAATATTGAAGAGAGAAATGAAGATATTATGAACGTTTTCTTTGGACCGAATAAAAAAGTAATGGTCCCTCCAACGAGTTCGGCTATTACGAAACCGTAATATTCACCTCCCAGAATTATTCCTTGAGTGGGTTGTGTCCATACATAAGAACCCTAAAGAATAGCAATAATAGTTGATGCACTAAATAAAGGTCTATTACTGAAATTCTTAAAAATGATTTAAGAAATAAATTGCAATTACCATCGTTTAATATGACAACTCAATAAACGTAACATATCGTCAGTAAGAAGATTTTTTCCCCACTGCCATTCTGTCATACAATTAACACTGATTAATCCACTCGTGGATTAATTCTAAATACAAACATTTCCAAACAGATTCAAGTAGTTTGGTATAGTAGAATTTAATTGTTTAATTCAGAATATAACTGTAGAGTAGAATTGTATAGTAGAATATAGTGTATACTATTCTACACTCTACTATACAATAATCTATATTTTGTATAACAACAAACAATTTGTGATGGAAAATGGTTCAGGCGATTAATACATTAGAGTGCCGTTTTGGGTTCATCCAAGATTGAGTCCTTTATCTCAATGAAGTATAGGAATTTAATATAGGTTGTCTGTTCAGATATGCATTATGTTTGTCTTTGCGCACACTTCTTTCTATATTGCAATGAATAATAGAAGCTTTCTAGTGTTATGTCTTAGATTTTAGGACTCTATACAGTTTGATTTAATATTCTGTTATTTGTGAACTTGTTCACGTTTTTAGTTTCTGTGTCTTGCATTTATCATTCCTCTGTTAACGTTAAGAGGTTATTCTCACATTTTGTTAGAGAAATTGAAGAAGAAAGGGAAGTACGGCTGAGATAGTAGATTGTTCGCATAATACTCTGCTTGACCTAGAATCGAATCTAGAGAAGAAACACAAGAATTCAAATAAAGAAACTGAAGAGTTTTTATGGTTGTAATTTACTGTATGTTGACATGAATGTGAATATTAATATTCTGCTGCATTGAAGAATATAAAAATATTTTTCAAAAGTAATTTTCTGGCATTATTACAATCATAAATTTATGTGAAATTATTTCTTTAATTAAACACTGTCAGCTGTAAAGTATTTATGCGAAGTTCATAATGATATGTTGTCAAAAATCAAATGGAATAATAATGTACTGTAAGGTCTCTNAGATATGCATTATGTTTGTCTTTGCGCACACTTCTTTCTATATTGCAATGAATAATAGAAGCTTTCTAGTGTTATGTCTTAGATTTTAGGACTTTATACAGTTTGATTTAATATTCTGTTATTTGTGAACTTCTTCACGTTTTTAGTTTCTGTGTCTTGCATTTATCATTCCTCTGTTAACGTTAAGAGGTTATTCTCACATTTTGTTAGAGAACTTGAAGAATGAAGGAAAGTACGGCTGAGATAGTATATTGTTCGCATAATACTCTGCTTGACCTAGAATCGAATCTAGAGAAGAAACACAAGAATTCAAATAAAGAAACTGAAGAGTTTTTATGGTTTTAATTTACTGTATGTTGACATGAATGTGAATATTAATACTCTACTGCATTGAAGAATATAAAAATATTTTTCAAAAGCAATTTTCTGGCATTATTACAATCATAAATTTATATGAAATTATTTCTTTAATTAAACACTATCAGCTGTAAAGTATTTATGCGAAGTTCATAATGATATGTTGTCAAAAATCAAACAGAACAATAATGTACTGTAAGGTCTCTTTTTATGCGGATTATTTTTATGCGATTTTGAAGTTGTGCGGTTTGTATTTCATCTAAAAATTTCTTGGACAAGCATACATATAAGCTTGTTTAGGAAGCCCGCTTATAAACAGTCTCCAAAAATCATGGAACGCTCAAAGCTCACTCCATTTGTTCCACTGACATATAACGTTTATGGATGTAAAGGACAGCTAGAACTACCTTAATCGCTTTAGTTCCTAGCAATTTTTGACATAAGTGTAATTAAACATAAAAAATACTTAAAACTGAAAAAAACGAAAGAAATGCGTTAATTTTGAAGAAAAAGCTTCAAAGTTTAATTAACTTCCTTTGTCTCGCCATTCTGTGAAATTTAACACGGATGAGTCATTGTTTACACATCTGGATAACCTTGAACACAGCTGGAGTTGGATTTCCCGGGGCATTCTCATAGACGTCGCGGGAGGACAACGGTTTAAAGTAGGGTGAACACTAGCTGGCCGTATATTTTTAAATATTTTTAAAAAGTTTGGAGACTTAAAAAACATTCCAAAAATTCAAAAAAAAAAGTCACGCCTCAAGGACCGTGTTTTATGCAACGCTATGTAATCTTACCGAGTTAACTCGGACGTGGAACTAAAGATGTTTTAATTAACTCTTAACATCCAGATGTCAGTGATTTGTTTTTAGAGTGAGCTTTTGCAATTAGGAGATTCCCCTTGTATTACTTTCAATAAAATAAACTGAATTAAGTTTGAATACAAGTTTATTTTAAGCTTTTATATGAATTTCTTTCAGACATTCGAAGTAATTTATACAGCAGTCTATTTCTTTTAATTTCTGCAAACTTTCTTTGCGGTTTTAAGTTAATTTTAACTCGTTGTTTTGGTTTTATGCGATTTTAGAAAATTACGGAACGTATCCCTACTTTTTCAAGGCAAGTAAAGTCTTCTTTTATGCGAATTTTTTATATGCGCTTTTCTGTAAAACGTATCCACCGCATAAAACGAGATCTTACAGTACAGTATACTATCAAAATTATTTAAAAAACATTCATATCAAAATTTACTTAGTTTCACTGAAGCAAAATTTCTGTTCCATAGTTTACAGTGATCAGCATTTTGGTAAATTTTATGATTTTCTGCTTTGTGGTAGTAATTATGAAAATATGTGGTTCTTTTCTGCACGACAGTTTTCCTGTCTGAAAAACTAATTTCAGTGAATGGTTGATTTTATAAGTTAAATATTATAAAATTTGACTGGCTTTCAAACGTTCGGGACTTCAATACTGTAATATACCGAGTTACGTAAGTAATGCGAACCATAGACCTTTACGTAACTCGAATTTGTAAGTTGCTTAAGTGTAACTACGTAATTAATAACTCAACACTATTTTTTGTATGAGTACTGTACATATATTATTTATTATTTTTTGTATAAAAGAACAACAAAAATACATAGCACATATATAATCAAAAACAGTAATGTAAATAAACGACGAACACTATGTATTAATGTATAGGTTATTTATCGATCAAATCATTCCAGGCAATCTACACTAATTACATGAAAAAATACTTATAGAAAGCAAGCAATGAAAGTGTGCGTAGTTTATCTGCTCGACATTCACCGAGTACTGTAGAAAAACCTTGTTTAAGAGACAGAGTGTCCAGTACGCTTGGGTACATGCTTACAATTAGATCGAAAAGTAAATAATTAAGCAAATCACTAAAGTAATAAATTAGTACAGTGCGAAAGAAAGAGAGAAAAATAATGAATGAATGTTCGATATAAAATAATTCTATGATAAATACACGTAAAATTACATGATACACTACTCAGATGTTTTCCAATTTTTGAAATTAACGCTTTACCTAACTGCGTGTTATGTAACTCAGAGTATTACTGCACCTTTAAACATCTTTAAAATTAATTTAGGCAGTAATTAAATCTAGAAATTTCAGTAATTTTGTAAACTAACTTTATAAAGTTCAAATTACGATTTATATATGATTCAACTTTCATATTTAAATTTGACGATTTTAATAAGACTTTACGAAGAAAAATAATTCCAAACATTGAAATTACTACGTGAGCCTTGAAAAAACTAAAGTTCCGTGATATTTCTTAATTTAGACACAAACACACACAAAAATACTAAAATTTAATTTAATAGTAACATAAATAGCAATTTACAAAACAAGTTTGTGCATGATATTCGTTATTTGACATTGAAATTTCTTATTTAAATATTCTTACATTCTATGTTTAAACATTTACCTCTTTGTAAGTAGATGTAGAATTTTGCTGAGACTTTGCTGGGCATTCCTTTGAAGATGTTGTATTATACATGCTGGATATGGCTGAATGATTAACCATGGCTATAATAGCGACATTCAGCACAGATCTTTGGCAGTGCATTATTGTGTATATCAAAAATATAGAAAATACCAATACGTAACGAGCGGGAATATAAACTGAAAAGAAATTGTTGCAAAAATTTGAACAAATTTAAAAGTCTAAAGGTTTAAGTAAAGATTATTTATAATACTCATAATTTACATTTTACGTTGTATATCTATTAAGTTATTAAGTTACACACTTTCAAGATTATGAATGCTCAAGAATTGAGTCCAATAGATTGTGGAAGACATAGATATTGTTGTAATGCGACTCCCATATAAACCATTCATCAGGAAATCGCCAGAATTTTCAAGATATGATGGTGAGTTACGTGGTAAAGGATACTTCAAAGAACAACTCCAAATGTGTATCGCACGTAAAAGCCAACAATTGGACGACATCATTTTTAAAACCTAACCATGCAACCTTATTACATGTACTTTGAATAAATAAAAATTTTTTTATATTCTTGTATTTTTGTTTTTAAATTCACCTCGTAAATGTCGGACTCCATTATGCCCAATCCTATATAATAAAATCTATTAAATAAAAAACTATTGGATGTTGATTATGACATCAGAAAATATATAAAAATCAGCGTTGCAACGAATAGTATATTTGGCCTAAGGCCGAATACCGAATATTCGGCCAGGAGCGTGGCCGAATAGCCGAATATTCGGCAAAACTATTCGGCTTGTTTAACGCACGTACAAAAATTGACGCGCAAACCGCCATATGGCAAGGACCCCGCTCTCTATTGGCACATTGTCACTACGCTTCTCCAATCGCGTTAATTCTTGACAGTTCAGACAAGAGCGTCATGACAGTATGTGATAAATGATGATATCAAATGTGGATAACAATGAAATGACCTACATATGTAAATTACGGAAGAAGAATAGAGAAGGACCGCAAACTGAAAATGTGAAAATAATTATGAAATTCAGTTGATAACATAATCGAACAAGTCGATTATGTTATCAACTCAATAAGCTGCCTCGACTTGTTCGAGGCAGCTTATTGAGTTGATAACCTTATTGAGTTGATAACCTACAGCTTATTGAGTTGATAACCAATAAGCTGCCTCGACTTGTTCGAGGCAGCTTATTGGCGCGAAATTCGCGGTCGTGAATGCCAAACAATTTGTTTCATAGACTTCGGAAAGCTAAATGCTTCTAATGAAAGTCACTTAGCGTGCACGGGCGAAAGCCTGGGGTCGTTCGGGCTACCGAGCTGTTTCGAATCTGTAAAATCATAAACTGTGATCTATACCGACGTCCTATTGTCTCTTTTCTCCGTTATCACCAGGCTACGAGTCACGTAATTGTAAAATGGGAAATCTACGACAGAAAAGTGACGAATCGAAAGTATCGTGAAAGCGTATTATGACGCATCCATAGACATACGTGGACAACAGCGATAGAGCAAAGAGAAAGGGAAGAGCAAAGACGAGCGCTTAAAAAGAAGAATAGACAGGGTCAGACACCCGGATGTGCGACGATTCTCGAACGAATAGGTGTGCCTAAATACCAAAATGATTAATTTACTGTGGTTTTGTTATTTCTTACTCCCGTTTTTAGGTATTCGGTATTCTGCCGAATAGCGAAAAATAGGCCGAATAGGCTGAATACCGTATAGTAACCGAATATTCGTTACATCACTAATAAAAATACTTTACAAGTTAAATCCTTGCATAAAAAGTTTAGAATGATTAGATTAACTGGGTTAAAAATCTCGCATTAAAAATAATTAAGTAATTAATGCACGCCATTAAAGTGACATTAAATCAGTATAAAAATTTTCGAGCAAGTAAAAATTATGAAAAAATTTGAGCTAAGAAAACACTGGAAAAAATCTAACCCTATAGGATCGAATTGTTTTAACGCTATGGATCATGCCCGAAATAACTCGTTCTGAGTTAACGCATATGAAAAGGTTTCTCGATTTCAGGTTAAGAGCCACGTGATTTAAAGAGTTTATTTGTAAGTTTTGTAATGGGAAGAGAAAATGCATGTTAGAAAAAAGGGTAGAGAAAGGAAAGAAGTAAGGGAACGAAATGACTTTAATTAATTAATCAGAAAAAATCTTACCTTTATGTGCCATTATATCACGAGGAGAATACTTCCAATACTTTTAAAATATTTAACGTATCTGTTAATATTTTGATATATTTTCTTTATTCTGTGTTGTTGATTTACTTTCAACAATAAATTCGACTTAGAATTTTTTTATTTTTCTTTCTCTTTTTATGATTCAGAGTGATATAAAGTTCTTTGTATTATTATAGTGATGAATTTATATTTTTTATTGACGTCTATTAAAGTTATAAAATATAAATTTTAGACGGAAATTTCCATCATATACCACGAGTGTAATAGTAAAGCAAGTGTTATCCTGCAATATAATAAAAATATTTTAACACAATTATCTAACATATTATATTTTATTGACATCATAATAAAATAAAATTTCTTTATACATATTTAACAGAATAACTTCAAATATTAAAATTTGAATTTTTAACTATAACCAATTAAACTACTCTGTCTTATATGTAATATTATTAACTACACGAGAAAAAAATTTAATTTAAAAACTCATAAAGAATAAACGTAAATACATTCTAAATTATAAATTGATATTGTGTTATCAGAGAGGATGGTAACAACTCTATAGTAAAGCTCATCCACACTTCCAATGTCGAAATGCCAAATTTGTTCATTAATAGAAGCCTAATCATTTAAAAAACATATTTAAAGAATAATTTGCCATTTTACTTTTGTGGTTCTGATGTATTTATACCAAGAAAAAATTATTGGAATCGTGTCGAGTTCGACTTTTCGAGTTTTCTTGCAAATCTCCACGTTTTGAGATCTTTTATCTACTATTGTATTTACTTTAGATGTGAGAATGTTTGTTTTTCTCTGTTCTTAGCTCTTTATTATATTTTTTAATATATTTATTTTCTGTAACACTAAAGAAAGTATAGTCTACAACGTAAACCTGGACTCCTGCCCCTCTCCCTATTTCATCCCCTGTGATTAACTAAATATTCCCTTTCCCGATATGCACAAAATTTTATGCATTTATTCACTGAAACACTAAGGAAACTATAAAGTTTTTAAAAACTATTGTCTTATGAAGTTATTGATAAGTGAAAAATACTTGAAATCCCATAAAAAACGGATGAAACCAGGTAGAAAAAGTTGAACTCAATAGAAACATTAATACATGAAACATTTGAAAAATATGGCATAAGAATAGCGGAGGCAGATTTTGTCAGTAAGATTTAATATGTAAATGAAGAGATAATGTTACCTTAGGTTCCAAGATGGCGGCGCATCCGGTAATCTCGAATCGGATGTTTGATTGGTATTGTTGTTAGATGGCGGTATCTGATAAAAAGTGTGACGAAATACGAAAATGTGTTGAACATGACGTAAAATCTGATTTGCGTCAATATGCAATAGATTTGATATGATGTAGTAGCTCGATGTTTCGCGTGTACTTATGCAAATTAATTGATATGGAGTCGTTTGCTACAGTCTGTATTTGCATGTTTAGTGTACTATCTGTGTGTTGTTTCTACAGTATTTTACTACAAAATTGAATATTTGGTAAATATAATTTATATAAACAATAGGCTTTATATTTTATTTTAAAATATAGTCGTAACTTTTCCTAATTTTTCATTTTTTTTTAATTTTGTTGCTAATTATGTCGTAAAGAGTTTTGTAGAGATAACTTCTGATGAAATTTGGTAAGGTCTGCATCCCGTTAATTCAACTGGTAAAAGGAATCCCATTTTTTAAAAGTTTGTTTAGAACATTAAGTTGATAATGGGTTTAAAATTGGTGTAAAATTACGTAGATAACGTACTGTGTGCTTTTTGTATGTGAATACCTATTAATTACACTATCGAAATAATCGAAAAACACGTTTTCTACGTAGTACCTATTGTAAAAGTATGTATTCTGCTAACAAATAACCTTTCAGATAAGTTTTTTTCAATATATCTTGGGGATGTTTTGTCGTTGATTTGTCATTATGGTTAAATTTCAGATACGTATACCGTCATGGCGGCACTTCCTGTTTTGCGACTAGCCTCGCTCCCGACTCCGGCTGTTTGGAGCCGAGTGTTGTCACGTGACGACGCGCGCGCGCGCGCAAACGAAAGATGGCGGCTGCGCCGCGAACAAGGGAGGAAAGAGATCGATAATATCACTCTAAACGAATTATTAAAAAAAACAACGCATGTTTACTCACTGTCATGGTCGTCATCGTCCTCGGTCATTCAGCGACTCTAGCGCGCTTCTTTGCACCGTCGCGACGCTCTTCCTCCCTTTCTCTCTTGTTCGCTTCGGTATCGCTTCCGGGGGCTGCCGGAACAGTTTTTGGCTCCTTCCATTCGGGCACGCGGCCCGCTTTCGAATAAATTTTTCGTAAATAAAACGGTTCTTGTCATCTCTAGACATTCCGCCGACCACCCACTTAGTTTCTTTCAGCTTCCTTCCTTTTTCGTATTTACGCATGTTTACGACCGTCTCGTCTATTTCCACAGCCAATTTTCAAACTCGTCATATTAAAAAGAGAGACCATCATCGCGTGCCTAACGAAATTAGCCCAGTCGACACTGGTACTGCAACTTATCGCAACGGCCAAACACGAAGACTTTAACGAACTGTCTATGCAAATGAGGTGCCAGACGAAAGCGAATATCGTTCCCCACGATACGTTACCAAATTTACCCTCGAAAATACCTTCGAATGCCGAAGTATTAACGTTGCACTTGCGACATCGGAAATAAACCGAACTAGTGTGTCTTATCTATATAAACTTATTGTTACGAATGCTGTCGCATTTCCCGCACTTCGCTTCGACCAGCTGCAAACCTACCTTAATTGCGAATTTTTTTTATATCGGAAGGTATCCTAACATCGATACTTAACTCCGGATATTCCGATTTCAAGCAACGAAAGAAATCCCTCGACGTTAAATCGTCGAAATCCATTTTTGCGAAAGTCGAACAACGCAACACACAATCCAACTAGTCGAATTCAAATCGACCGCACCAGCAAAACGCGCGCGCACATCGACACGTGACAACACTCGGCTCCAAACAGCCGGCGTCGGGAGCGAGGCTAGTCGCAAAACAGGAAATGCCGCCATGATGGTATACGTATCTAAAATTTAACCGGCATTATCTATGTTTGGAATGTACCGCAACAAATTTGGATTTTGCTGTTGTTAATTCAACGTAGGCCAGCAGTGATCGATCAAATCAAGTACGATTTGTGATTCTTATAGCATCGAGGAACACGTCATTCTTTAAAAAAGAAAACACAGAAGACGGAGAAGAAAAAGGAAGAGACAGCTACCAATTTGAATACAAAGACAAATAAAATAATGTCTACAAGTGTAGAAGATTCGATAAGCAAGGGGATAAAAAAGCATTTAACAAATGAATATAAATGTATCAAGTTAGGAAAATAATTAATTTGAATTTATTTTCAATTTATATAATTTTTTAAAGATTCAGGCATTTAAGTCACGACGATTTTTTCCAACTGGCAAATCAAATTCAAGAAAATGTAATTGGCAGTTAAAGAATTTCATCCATGACGTAGAACACGTAACGGTTGTTATGTTTACAACTACGACGCCTGGCGGCCTTTCCCCGGGACTGTAAAGTGGGTGAAGGTCGTCTCGTGTTCTCCTATCTGTAGAAGTGACGTAATCATTTTAAATAAAAGAAAATTTCGGTATATCTTTTATTTAATTTTATAATTCGTTGTTCAAATTTACACCCAAGTATTAAAGCCGTTTAAAATATTACCATTTGGTAAATAAACTTAATTTACGTATAATAAATTTAAATAAATAAAATATTAAGAAACAACAAAACAAAAAAATGTAAAAATATTTTTTCATATTCATCTTCAGATCTATTACATATGTTATCTTCATTGACCGATATTTAATTTTAAAAACAATATTCATCATTGGCATGCATCAGAAAAACAAGCATAACATTCCTAAAACACACTTCACTGAGAGTTCCTCTGCACTCTGAAAAAGCCGACAGTCTACTTCGGCAATCTAATGTTTTTTTCTATATCTACACTCTTTACTACTTTAACGGATAAAAGGTAGAAAGTTTACTCTGAATTTACAACTTGTTTCAGAATATGCTACGTTACAGAAAGAAAACTTGAAAAATAATTTATTTCGACAATTAGCGACAACTGATCTTTGGATATAATATTTGGATATAAGTGAGAGTACGTATTATAGGCTTACTAATTTATTTGTGCATATAATTATCTAGTCCTAATTTCGAAACATTTATAGTTTTTAGTGTTTATAAGCCTGTTAATTAGCATCTCTACTGTCTTAGTGCTATTACGTAAAACAACGTCAAAGAAGAATAGAAAGTTCAATTAGTAAGTAGTCCCTTTATTTGCAAATTAATTCGTTGGTAGATTTTTTTCACATTTTAAGTGTAATTAAGTGAAACTAAGTGGATGTGAATATAGAAAGTATACGTGGAATATTTCAAGGCTAATTTAATGTAATATAACAGTTGTATATCGAACTGAATTTAAGTAAATTAGTTGACTTTGTATGTTTCGATCTAGTTTTTTGTTACATAACGATATACTTTTGATTTTGTAAATTGTATTATACTAAAAAATAAAGTTTTATGTTATTCTCCTAGTTAATGATGTATTTTTAATGTTCCCAAAACAATAATAATTATTAAATTGAAATTCAAGCTTTACAAACTATTGCGTATGTTAGAGAAGACCGTTTTACTATAAATTACTTCGTCTTACTACGTTTTAGTTTAATGTTGATTTTACAAAAAGTAGCTTAGACAAGGACAGTTAGAGTGATGACGTAGACTGTCGCTTTCTCCGGTTGCATCGAAGCTCTCACGACAGCGTGATTCACAGAAGTCACTACTATTATTTTCTGACGCCAGCCAATTAGCATTATTAATTTTTTTAACCAATCAAATGATGGCGGGAGGTTTAAATTCTATGACTTCACGAAATTGTTCAGGTATTTTATATGAATTTTGTTGCGGATATAGACGTCGTTCACCACTTCCACGCTATCGTCCTTGACATATATATACAGTACGTCGCTCACTGCTGAGTGTTTGATAATATTGTTGTTTAATATTCGTGTCACAATAAATATTTTTAAATGGAAGTGTTGCGA